TATTAATAATTTCATCTTATTTAAAAATTTTTAATGTTTATTTTTTAGAGAGAGAGAGTATGACCAGGGGGAGGGGCAGGAAGAGGGAGACTTAGAATTCGAAGCAGTCTCCAGGCTCCACACTGTCAGCACAGAGCCTGACACGGGGCTTGAACTTATGAACTGCGAGATCATGATCCGAGCCAAAGTCATACCTCGGCGTAAGTCGCTTAACCGACTGAGCTATCCAGGCACCCCAGGATAGTGGTTAATTTTAAAAAGCTGAGGGAGGGATAGGATAGAGAGAAGAACTTTGGTGATGTTCTAGTTCTTGGGTCATGAGATCATAGTTGTTCATAATATTATTAAAATTTGTGATATAAGATAGGAGGGCAATACATGGACCAGTGGTTAATATTTTGTTCATGACATAATTTGATGATTCATCAAACTCATTGTACTCAAGGACCAAGTTGAAAAAGGTATAAGTGAATGTTGTAGATGTTCAAAAAAAGGGCAGGATTGTTTTCAGCTGTAGGTGATAGTTAAGAATATAGGCTGTGGAGGCATTGTGGTGATCATTTTACAACATATGCAAACATTAAATCATTACATTGTACACTAGAAACTAATGTTATGTCAGTTTTACCTCTAATAAAAAATAAAAAAAGAACTTAGGCCAGATGCACCTCAAAAAAAAGAACCAACTTATTTTCCAAATAATAGAAAATATTGAGTCTTAATATTTTTTGTGTAACAGTAGACATTAATGTAAACCAAAACTTTACAACCATAAAGATAAATTTCATCCTCAGAACTTGTGTTAAGCTAATTCAAAACAAGCATGCCTGGCTGGCTCAATTGGAAGAGCATGCCACTCTTGATCTCAGAGTCATGAGTTTGAGCCCCACATTGGGTGTAGAGATTACTTAAATAAATAAATAATTTTTTTTTTTTTTTCAACGTTTATTTATTTTTGGGACAGAGAGAGACAGAGCATGAACGGGGGAGGGGCAGAGAGAGAGGGAGACACAGAATCGGAAACAGGCTCCAGGCTCCGAGCCATCAGCCCAGAGCCCGACGCGGGGCTCGAACTCACGGACCGCGAGATCGTGACCTGGCTGAAGTCGGACGCTTAACCGACTGCGCCACCCAGGCGCCCCAATAAATAAATAATTTTTAAGAATAATTTAAAACAAAAAGAGCAATGCCTTTTT